TTCTTTGCAAAATGAAGGCGGGGCGGCCATGTCGCTTTCCAGGCTGGCTCTGCCTAACACCCGAATGGTCTTCTTTGGGGCACCAGGCCAGGATCGCCCTCTGCTCCCAGGCCTTTGAGAACTTATGACGGGTCGCCTCCATCAGGTCTGGTATCTTAATGGGCACGATTTAAGGTGCAACACTATGCCCGTCTAGACAGGGAAAAAAATCCTCCAGCTGGAGCTGTTGCTGAAATTGGTTCAAACTGCGTGTGTTGGAAATGCTCTAATTTCTTAGCAGTTTGCACTGTGATGTGCATTTTGTGGAAAGCACCAAGACCTCTTTTGGATATTTGGTGGAACGGAAGTGATGGAAACCCATCATCACCATCTTCAGGAGAAGAGTATAAGAACACCTAGGCGTGCCGCTGGATAAGGAATCGCTCTTGTTTCTGGCACGAGCTGACCCCTGGCCTCGTACGCGTCAGTCCCCAGCGTGGCTCCCAGATTCTCTCGCTGCCTGCCCCGCTCGACTCCCTGCCTCCTTGCTCCTTTGCTGGCCTCGGTTTCCAGGTCCCTGCATCCCCTGTGATTGAATTGCCCCCCTCCCCATGAAATCCTGACTCTGCACGCACCCTCCAGTGGGAAGGCCCCCAGCAAGCCATCTGGCTTGGCCACGAGGGATGCCAGAGGTTTTTGCTTTGTCTGCATGTTTAGCAAACTGGCCAAATTTTCCAAACAAACACGCAGATTGGGACGCTGTCAACTTTGGGGCTCTCCACTTCTCCGGAGCCTTTTGGTGTGGTTTATCAGCTCAAAAAGTGTGTACCAAAACATGACTTCATGGAAGGATGCACGCCGAATGCATGGCTCAGGGAAAGAGGCCCACAGAGACGCATACGGAAGGAGAAATGTATGCAAACTGTGTATGCTAGGCCTATGAAAATCAATGCGCGTTTTACACAGGGTTTTTAAAAAAGAGATTTACAGACTGATGTGGAAATGGGATGGGATGGACTTAGGACAGAACGTGTGTAAACCTGACATGGACCAGATGTGGATTGGTATGCGCACCCTTTCTGGTGGCCATTGTCCAGCCCGGTGTTTTCTTTACCCTTCTAACTCACTGCGGCCTTCACTTCATGCCCCACAACCAGGAATCACAGAAACAATGCACAGCCGTTCTTAGATCTCTCCCTTGTCGCAGACACGGTTCTGCATTTCAAAAGTTGAGGCTCCATCCTGAGGACACTCCGGTCTCCACTGGCATCCTGTTTCTGTCACAGCCTTCCAGATGGGTTGAACCTCAATCCACATCCTCCCCGGCCAGCATGGACGGAGCACCGCTCCGAGTTCACATCCCCCGAATTTCACTTTGAAGCTCGGTATGGCTTGCTCCCATTCCACACTGTGGAACAAGTCCATGCCCTGAATTTCCAGACTTCTGCTTTCCTCTCTTTTTTTCTGCTCCACCATAAATGTTCAGCTCCTTTATGATTATTGTTTTCCTTCTCCCTTTACTGGGCGGTTAATTTGCAGGCCCGGTCCTCTTCCCCATGGCAACATGGTCCAGATAGCGCCAAAGACGTCTGCGGACACGAGGGAGGAGGCTGTGAGAAGCCTGTCATCCCGCAAGCCGATTGGATTATGCGCTTCCACTTTGCTGCCGCGGTTCGGGAGAGATTGAATTAGAGTCTCCACTTTTTCGGATTTCACACACAAATTAGCGTCTGAGAAAGCGCAAGATGAAATTTGCACATCTCAAGCCAGGAACTCTCAGGAGGCTTGACGAGCACACGGAGAACGGACATCCTCCATCCTCTGAAGGGCAACATGGTAATGTTGACGGTAAACAGAAAGACAATGTAAAACAGGCAGAAAAAGCAGGCAGTGGGTTTGGCGCGGCTGAAACGCGCACACCCTGCTCCGGGGTCCAAAGCAGTGCGGGTGCCATCCCCCCAATGGAAGGGCCTTTCCCCCCAAGATGCTCTCTAAGGTGCGCCGTCCCGAGGCTGTAAGCGATGGGATGGCATACAAAATCTCTGAATAAATAAGGAAGCAAGGTCCTTTCCACTCCCAAGGCTCTCTGTTCCAATAATTCAGTTCAAGCCAATAGCATGCATGCGCCAGATGGCGTTACCTGGCTGGCTGCAGCTTATGTCTTGGTCATGGCATTTTCTGAACCCACCAGGAACTCTGGAACCTTAGGGACTAGCCACTTGAATGCTGAGCTTCATACTTATTCTTCCGGAGAACATCCAGATCTTCACTTACATTTGCACATTCTTTTGGGCTACAAAACGTTGAGTCTTTTCACATAAGTTATAAGATATACAGTTGTATGTGCACATGTTTTGTGTGTGTGTGGGTGTGTTATTTCTGTCCTTGCATCACAGAACAATAAAGGTGGATTTTTTCTGCAATGGCAGTCCGTAACCAAAGTTTGCTTGGGTGACCTTATTCTAGGATACTTTTCAAAACTGCATTTTCCGCAACAGCCCCACACTGTTCCGTGTTGTGCTGTGAAGTTTTCCAGGGTGGCTTGATCTTGAAAGGAAAATTAAAGCCCTCTTCAACAGCCAGGCATTTTGGGGTTTCCTGGGTGGGGGCACAGACATGGGGGCATTTAGGTTTGCCCCCATGTTCCGCTGAAGCCATGTGGAACATTCTCGCATCTTTGCAGTGCCATGAGATGGGTCTCCAGAGACGGACCCAGTGGCGGGGGCTTCTCTTGTGTGTGGGGCTGGCGGTGGCAGCCCAGGAAGCCAGCAGGAATGGCAATGCTCTCATGAGCACCGAGTGGCTCAGAACTGGGAGGCCCCTGAGCCACGTGGCTGGCAAGGTGGTGGGACATTAAAATAAAGGTCCCCGGCCCGGCTGCCCACGGCTGACTAGTGTGCTCATGGCGGGGGGCAGCCGGGGGCAGGGGCAGTGGGACTTGCCACAACACAGAGAGAAGGCGCCAGCCACGGCCCGGATGTGCCAGGTGCAGGTGTGTTGTTCAGCAGCCACAAAGAAACCAGGAAGTAAGACCAGGCGGAGCACGATCGGGGCGCTACAAAAGGATCCTGGCAGGCAGGCAGAAAAGAGACAGGCCTAATGACCACTGGTATCGCCACCATGTCCAGGGACCAAGGAATGCCAGCGGATCCTGCAGTTTTGTTTCTCAGTGAGCCACCGCGGCCCAGGAGCAACAATCGGACGTCCCGTCACGGTTTTCCCAGCATCGATTACAGCCCACCCAATCCTTCCGACGCCCGCTCTGCTCCTCATTTGCTGGTTCAAGCAAAATGAATGGGAGGGCTGCACACGCTTCAGCCTTCAGTGAGGGTGCCACATGGCTGAGACAGGCAGAGGGAACGGAGTCCGAGGGAAATGGACCGGAAGGTGTTCATTAAAGGAAAAACAACAACAACAAGCCGGCAAGAGGCTGAGCAAATACCAAAGGAAGCGTGATAAGAACGCGCCCGGGAGTCGCCCAACTGGAATCGAAACATTCCAGTTGACGGTAAGTGAGGAAAAGAAGCAAATGCCAAGCCAGCTCACAGACTCTAATCCCGGTTCCATTCCTACAGCAAGTCCCAACCAAAGTGCACTAGAAAGGTGGCAGGTTAACGCTCTGGCAGGGGCTGTGTTCATGATCGTAACACCCAGGATTGGCGTGTCTGACTGAGTGAGTGGCTGGGGAAGATGGATGGGGTGCTTCTGCAGGGCTGGGCACAGTGGGAACGGAATGCTGGGCTGCGGCATCCTCGTGCCTGCGCCCACAGAGCTCGTGAGCCACGTCCATTCCCAGGGATGCGAGGGCAGGGTGCCTCCTGCTGCTTGGCCCCGGGAGCCCTGGCTTGACTGGCCCCAGCGGCTCGGCCTGGAGCATCTCCCTCGCTTACCTGGCCATGGAGATCGTCCTCTGCAGTCCTGCCCTAGCCAAGAGAAGTGAGGAGCGCGGCTGAGAACAGGAGGCCCTTTTCGGGGATGCCACCCCAGAGGTGATCTCCCGGCACCTGTGCTGCACTGGCCCTGCTGCCAGGTGAGGCCCCCTCTTCACCTGGCATTTGAATCCTTTGATTTCTGTCTTCAAACTGCTACCGTGCTTCAAACCTTTGCATTGCTGCTAGGCTCTGCCTCGGGTTTTGCTTCTATTTTATACTGTCATTTTCAACGGTTACCCTGCATATTATCACGCCGTGGTTTAGGGTTTCAACTGCCGTGGCCCACCTAGAGCGCGTCAGCTACTGAGCCCTATAGAAAGCGACCCAACAGAAAAATAACAGGTGTGCTCTCAGGTGCGGTGAAGGGCGGATGGCCCCATAGCGTTTCAGGACCCACTTGCTCTTTCATGGGGATGGTGGGGTTGGTTAAAGACCAGCCGAAATGATTGGGGGGGGGGTGAAACGCTGCTTGGCACCAGGAGGAGGCTGCACCACTCAGAGCATGCCGGCAAGGGGCCGCGCTGCAGCAGGGGGCTAGGCATCCGCTGGGGCCCCTTCTTTCAAGAAGGCCTCTCTGCAGGGAGGGCTTTTTGGGTGAAAGCACGCTGCCTCTGCCTCTGCTTCCCAGCTTAAGCAGCCTCCCTAGCTTCTTATGTGGAAAATACAGAGAGGAAGGAGACTATATCAGCTGCCCAAGTTCCCCGCAAGAGGCAAAAACCGGGCAGTGACACCTGCCTTGGTAAGACGAAATCGTTTGGAGCCCTCCCCGCTTCCCCGAAAGCGCCCACGTTCCTCGAACGGTCCGTTCAGGCCCGGTTGGTTGCCTTGCAGAAGGCAGAGGAGGGAGGAGGGGTTCAGATGGGTCCACGGGGGGACCTGCCTCGGTGGATCATCCTCAGTGCCGTGGCTTGGAGACTACCAGGACGGGCAAGGCGCTTCACCCCACACTGCTTCGCCACGGCACGGCTGCCAGCACCCAGAGGGGATGAGCGGCGAGCGCTGCAGGTCTGGGGCTGGAGGCTCCCCTCTGCTCCTCGTTTTACAGAAACCCACTGGGCCTCCACAGGCAAAACGTCGCAAGCTACTTACATCCAGCGAGCAGATACTGGTAACTCTGCACAGAATCCGCAGCCAGGAGCAGGGGATGGTTCAAGTTAAAGGGCGGCTGCAGTTCATTCCACTGGGGAGTTCTGCAGAAGCAACGTGAGAGTATTAATATTTAAGCTGGCAGGGAGAAAAAAAATCAGCATCTGTGTCGCCGCATCTGATTGTTTATGCAAGAGAGTGCCATGTTTATAATTATTTAAAGTAATTTGCGACAAGCATGGAATATTCCACAGGCAGATGGGAGCGAAGGCACGAGTGGCCTGATCCCAAGACACGCGGCGAGAACCCACACGGGTGCGCACGCTCGCCGAGATGCGGCGATCCCCTGAGGAGCAGGGAGGCTACCTTCCGCCAGGTCGGGCCGCTGGGTCTGTGGCCCTTCGGCGTGCAAGGCTCAGCCGCTGCCACCAGGACGTGTCCCCACAGGAGAACCCGGCTCCTTGCTGGCCAGGAGAGAGCCGAGCTGCTCTGCTGCTCTCGAGGCCAGAAACCGGAGCTGAGCACCTGGGGCAAAAACGGTAGCGGCCACTGGATTGGCGGCTGCTGGGTGCGAGCTTGTGCCATGGGTTTCGGATGGCCAGATGATTGCAGGAGCTGGGGGTTGGGGGGTGAGAAGCAGAGCTGTGCCCAGTTCTGAAAACCAGGTTCCTGTCCAGATTCTGCCACTGTCCAATGCAGCACAAGTCCAGCCTTCCTTCCACTGGCACACTAGAACTGGCATGCACAGACATGCAGTGCTGGATGCGGCCCGTCCCCGTCCCCGTCCCCCCCACAGGCACAAGCGGGTCTTGCACTCTGCCGTGCCTGGGTTAAAACTTGCCCAATTAAGTCCCCGGAATGAGACCAAACATCAAAGAAACCCCCATACCTGCCAGTTTAGTGTGATCCAAAAATGTGTGTGATGTGTTATTTTTTATTATCTTTATTCATTTATAGAAATATTGTTACAAAAATGCTAATATAATGAATGGTCTGAGAGGCCCCCCCCCCATACAGGATATGGCACTCCATATGTCCTCCTAGTGTCTTCTTTGGGCTGGACACAAGCCCAGTGTGGCACATGGGATATATTGTACAGCCCTGCGGCACTGGGGATGCATCCAAAGACTTCCCAATCTGTGAAAACCAAGTCGTGCAAAGTTACAGGCCATCGATCTGCCTCGAATTTGCAATCCCATCACAAGTTGCTTGTTTTGACAATAATGGCCCTGAAAGGCTGTGTTGTCATTTTAATTAGGGTCTGCCTCTGCTCAATCGCTTGGTAAATCATGTATTGATCAGTCCAGCCCAGGAATGAGCCAGCTCTGAAGCAGATTGGAGCCTTCCAAAAAGGGAAAAAAGCAAGAAAGGAAGAAAGAAAAATCAATTGAAAAATATTTTAAAATGTCAAAAGCGCTGGCCATATTTTCTCAGCCGTCCCTCATTTGTTTTATTCCTCCAGTCAGGGCTAATTTCGCTAAATGGCCTTCAGAATGTACTATCTGGGGAGCGTCGTGCGGGACAATTGGTCTAGCCATTTGCTGCATGACGCTGAGGACCAAATTGGCAGCCCTGGCCCAAGGGAGCTTCCTGAGGGGCCAACCTGTCTGCCGTCTTCTGATCTCCCTTCCCAGCCCGGACAGACGGATGCTGGCACAGTGGTTCAGGACGCACGCCGGCCTGTGGCTAATTTATCTTTGGAGGGCAGGGACACACGGGGCTGCCGCGGCCTGCCCTCCACAGAGCTTGGGCGGCTCTGGTGCAGAATGGTTGTCCCCGTTAAGGGCAGAGACTTAACGAGGGACGGCCCCTCGCTCTGTCCACAGCCCTGCACTCAGAGACGCATATGTGTGGCTGCCATGTGGAAGAACCAAAAAGTAAGGACATGGTACTGGATGCAGAACTCCCCTTTCTGGGAACCTCAGCTTCTTCACCTGCTTTAAAAATAAGAGAAGCACGTTTCTAGTCCTTATGATTTTGAGGAAGCGCTTGATTGTGCCAGGACAATGACTGCTGAAATCTCAGAAAACAAAGGGGCTGTTTGGGGGAGTTGCCTTGAAGCTCGCTGCTCCCTGTGACTCAATCAAGCAGAATAATAATGACGCCAACTGTGCTAATGCTGCAAGATGCTAAAGAGGAAAAATGATTCAAATTAGGCAGTTTACTTAATTTATAGTGGTGGAAAGGGTTTGGGTTTCCCTTGCTGTGGAAGCTGGGCTCCCTGAGAGCACAATTATAATTTCCCCTACTGAGGATTATGGGCAGACCTGCCTGCATTGTTTGGGACTCCAACACCAGGGCCTGAGATGACCGAATGCTCAGGGACTGGCGTGGACCCCGCGCAATCTGAAGGCCCTTGAAGAATCCAAAGCAGCAGGCCTGAAACCCCCCCGACAGCGAGAACAACATCTAAAGAAGCAGCACAGCTGGGAAGGGGTAGGTTACCTGACCAGTGTCCAGCTAGCCCTGGGACACGTCACCATTTCCAGGGGCGTGTCATCGCTGATTTTTGGGGCAGTGCTGAGCGGCCGCGGTTCCAGTACATGCTCCACCAAGGTTCCGTAACAGCTGATGATGTACAGAGACTCTACAACGAATTGTTTGGACTGATCTGAAGGCCAATGAGAACAATATTGCAGGGTCTTAATTCAAGTTGGTTAACGAGCAAGAGTCACAAAACTGCTTTGGCTTTTGCTCATTACAAAGCATCTTTTCTGGCGCAGAAGAGACGTGTTCCCACGGAGCTTGGGACAGGTTTGTAACGAAGCCATGAAAGTCACAGGGGTGGCCCCTGACTCTAGCAAATTTTCACCTGCAACCTCTTTTCTTGTACTGAACAAGAGAACGGTAGATGTGTACACCTGCATTTGCTGGATCCCCAAATATAGTCTATTCTCTATCCAAAACTGCTTTAGGTGGCAACCTCCCCATTTTTTTTAATTTTTAATTTATTTTTCGATTTATATCCTGCCTTTTTTCCTACAAAGGGCTCAAGGCAGCTTACATCATTCTCCTCCTCCATCTTATCCCCACAACAACAACCCTGTGAGGCAGGTTGGGCTAAGAGTCTGTGACTGGCCCAGTCACCCAGTGGGCTCTATGGCTGAGCAGGGACTAGAGCCCAGGTCGCCGGAGTCCCAGTCCCCTGCTCTTAGCCACTACGCCACACTTCACGGGGAGGATGGTCCATGGCACTTAGTAACTATCATGCCCAGGTCAGCACAGATGGGCTTGCTCCACTAGAGATTTATCTTGTGCTCTGCCTGCCTGGCTCTTTCCGCCACCCAGCTTTGCCTCCACTAGCAGGCCTACTTCTTCGTCAAAACTGGGAACTTAAACTTCTTAAGGCAGGGACTATTCCTTTTGAACTTCTGCACCAAGTGCCCCAAAAAGAGCACAACAGAGCGATGCTCCTGAACAAATGCATTCTGGAACTAGTCGCGCCCCTGCTGCGCTAGACTGTGCGTAGCTGAGAGACCGCGTTTTCCGATTTTAAAATTTCCGTGCAGAAAGGGGACAAAGGAGACAGTGCTGTTCAAGATGGACTCGGGCTTCCGATAATATTCTTTGGGAACCTCGTCTTCTTTCTCGGGCTGGCTCACTGTTGCTGGGTGCAGCTTTGCCTTTCCACTGTGGCCCAGTTCTGCCCAACGTCTCCAACTTGGGGTCTGAGGAGTTTTGGGATACACCAAAGCACTGTCCAGTGGATTAGGGCATGGCTGACTGACCGAAAGCAGAAGGTAACCATTACCGGGGAATCATCGGGATGGCGGCCAGTGACAAACGGGGTCCCCCAGGGCTCTGTCCTGGGGCTGATCCTGTTTAATCTTTTCATGAGCGACATGGAAGAAGGGGTGAACAGTCGGCTGATCAAATTTGCAGACGACACTAAAACTGGAGCAGTGGCCACAACTGAGGAGCAGGTACTCCAGATCCAAAAGGACCTGGACAGACTATGGAAGTGGGCAGGAGACAACAGGATGGCGTTCCATGCAGATAAGTGCAAGGTCTTGCACTTGGGGCATAGGAATAGCTGTCATAAGTACAGGTTAGGTGATAAGTGGCTGGAGAGCAGCACTTGTGAAAGGGACCTCGGGGTGCTGGTTGACTGCAGGCTAAACATGAGCCAGCAGTGTGATGAGGTGGTCAAGAGGGCGAACGCCACCCTTGGTTGCATAGCCAGAAGTGTGGCTTCTAGATCAAGAGAGGTATTACTACCACTCTATGCGACTCTGGTGCGCCCGCAACTGGAGTATTGTGTTCAGTTTTGGGCCCCTCATTACAGAAAGGATATAGCCAGGTTGGAGTCAGTGCAGCGCAGGGCCACAAGGTTGGTGGCCGGTTTGCAGGGGATGCCGTATGAGGCGAGACTGAGGGAACTGGGTCTCTTCAGCCTGGAGACGAGGAGACTCAGAGGGGATCTGTTGGTGACATGCAGGTATGTGAGGGGATGTCACACGGAGATGGGTAGAGACCTGTTCTCCCCTGCAGAGGAAGGCAGGACGCGCTCCAATGGAGCAAAGCTCAGGGAGCCAAGGTTTCGTTTAGATGCCAGGAAGCACTTCCTGACAGTTAGGACCCCGAGGGTGTGGAATGGGCTTCCCCGGGAGGTCGTTGAGGCCCCATCAGTGCGGGTGTTCAAGGATAGGCTGGACGTCCACACGGTGGGCATGTCATGAGCGGAGCCGGCTGGTGCCGGAGGTCAGACTAGATGGCCTGGGAGACCCCTTCTGACTCGCTCTGTTTTCTATGTTTCTATGTTTCTAAGTCATTTCCTCAACACACCAACCTTTCTCTCTTTTCAGGCCTGGGTTGCTTGCGAACCAAGACCGCGAGGAACCGAAGACAGCAGCCACACAGAATTCTCCTCCCACCGATTTGCTGGGCGAAATTTGTGGAGCCGGTTTGCTTTTGCTGTGAAAAACAGAGGGAGAAAGAAAGGGAGAGATCAAAGTCTGATCACTGTTAAGCAGTCTGCCCAAGCGAGTTTTGCTTGAGGTGCAATATCAAAACAGGGAACCTGTTTTCTCAGAACTCCTGGGGATCAATAAAGGCTGAAGACAGAACGGAGGCTGCTCAGCATTTCAGAAATGCAAACTGAACATGTTCCTTTCACGAGGCAGAAATAGCTCAGTGGAGCTGATTGACTGCTCGTTTGGCAACCACAGCTGGAACTGGCAAAGGGTGGCCCCTAGCCTGTGTTCTACCCCCCCCACCCAGGTACCACAAGACGGAGGTACCGGCAGCTTGGAGAAGGTGATAGCCTTGACCGGGGACTTGCAAAGAAATGGCATCCGTAAAAATGAAAGCCCCAGATCAATGCCTGCACCAAATTTGGGAAGGAGAAGAGACAAGGGCTGGACGTGGTGGGCAGTTTTTCATGTACTGTTTGCACTCCCTTGTGTGAAACACACAAGGCAGAACTGAGTCTCTGCCTCACGGGGGTCCAGACAATGAGTGCTCCACACCCAGAGGACTGGTCTTTGGGACCCCCTAGTGATGCCAGCCTGAAGAAGAAGAGCCCCCACCAACTTGGGGGCCTCCCACTCTGTTGGACTGCTACTTCCCTAATGGGCCAATGGCCACGCTCGCTGGCTGGGGAAGATAGCAGTTGCAGTCCAACACGTCCAGAAGGCACAAGGTCAGTGGCGATCGCAGTGGAGCAAGGTCCAGACTGCAAAGCAGGTTGGGCTAAGCTTGCCATGGGTTGTGAGACTCCCAAACAGGGAAGATTCTTTGCTGAACACCTGTTTCCAATTTTAGTGCTGCTGCCATGTGAGAGCCACCTCCCTCCCCCACGACCTTGATGCCACCAATTTTCGTACGTAGCAAACGGCCGGCTTTTCATGCAGCACAGAGCATAAGCCAGGATGGACAAACATGCAAAACGATGAGAAATGGAGAAAGACATCCTGACAACACACAAGAAACATGCATGCCTCAGAGAACAGGAGAGTCAGAAGCACTGCCTGATGGAGCACAATGGAGGGCAGGTGCAACGCGCTTGACAGCTTCCGATTTATACCTGAAAATCTGCCTTGTTTGGCAACTAAGCACTCCCCACCTGGATTCTTAGCTAAGCACTGGCCCATCACCCCAGACCTTGGAGACCCGTCTTGCGACCCATCAAAGAGTCTACTGCAGACAACTCAACAAGAGCTTTGTAGATGTTCCACAGCTGGCATGCAAAGAGGAAAAGGCAGGCTTCCTATTCGCTGGGACAGAGCGGAGGGATGAGGGAGGGCCCGCGGCTCAGTGGCAGGACATGTAACAAGCACCCCATGTACTGCCAGTGCAAAGGCTCTCAAGTAGGGCGACGAGGAAAGAGCTTTCTGTTGCCGCTGGCTGATGACGCTACTCAGGGGGTGCCTCCTGTGACCCTGGCTCTTGGCATGCTAGGATCCCTGATCGGCCAGGAAGATCAGCACGGCAGCTTTCGCCTCTGGCTGGTCCCGGAATCACACTCAACTTAATACACAAATCACACCTATAACACTGGGAACATCTGCAGTGAGGCAGAGTCACAAGACTCTGCTTATCTGCTGCGACGGCAATACAGGTCTTGCCTTTGAACATGGTATGCCCAGGCACAAGCAGAAACAGGAGAAGGCTGCTGCTATCACACTCGGATTTTGGGCCGCCCAAAGGGCATCTGATTGGACATGAATGGAAACTGGAAGCTGCATTAGGTAGCTCAGGGCAGGTAAGCAAAACATTAGGCCAAACCTGGCCCCCTGTGGTTCTCCAGAAGGTTGCGGCCCTTTCCTTGCCCAGCAGCTCCTCGATTCCCAAAGGCAGGCTGAGAGCTGTCAGGTGCGTCGGCTTCCTTAAACGGTGTTGCCAAAGGGACCGTGCTCCTGTGTGCTGTTGGGAAAAGGTGCTCAACAGCCAGAAGTCTCTTGGCAAAATGCAGGGCAAAGAACACCAGGATTAGGACTGAACTATTATCAAGCAAAGCAACTGAACTGAAGGCCCGAAAGGCTTCATAAGTGGACTGCAGCGAAACGACTCCTGCAGCGAGACTGAAATCCTATCCTCGGGAGACCCTCTGTGGGCCAGGTTTGGCCCCTGTGGGCCTCCTCGGAGGTTCAACACCCCTGATGTGTAAGACGGCAGCCTGACTTCCTGTGCGAACGGATCTTTACCATCCAGCCAGAGCATCTGCACGCCTTGTATGCCGTTCCAACAGGGAGTGTCCAGCACAGACCAGACCGAGCTCCAGTGCTGGCGGCACCTGGTGCAACCCACAGAACCGTGGGGCATGTATGCCCTTCCCACGGTCCACAAGAACCACCAGCAAGCTTCTCCAAGTTCCCTCCCAAGCCCTCTATGCCCCCAAAGACTTACGATTTTTCACAACACAAGTGTAAACAGTTTTCAAGGAAATGGAATAAAGTACGTTCTATTTACACCATGTCTTTAAAACAAACGTCTTCTGCAGCGCACACTGAAGCCCCGGCTTTCAGTGCCAAAACATTTTCAGTTTAAGAATGATGTTTTGTAGACAGAAAAAGGCAGCCCTTGTAAAACATGATTACTCTTGCGGTTAAACTTAAGTGAGAAGGGGGAGAGGGGGAGAAACTGGGTATGTTATCTTTGCTTTAAATGTATTTGGCGAGGTGGGGTGGGAGTGAATATTCTGAACCAACATCATTAAATCCATATTGGAAAGTTTTATAATGTCAGAATCTTTAATATTATTACCCACAGGCACGCTTGCCGCCACCCCCGTCTTCCCAGCGCTAACGTTACCCTGGAGTATTCATTAATGCATTCCAATTCAAATTACCCTCTTCTATTCAGAAACCCCAGGCTTTCCAAGCCTGTGGACGAAGGGCCAAAGAGGACATGATGCGGACTGGGGGAATGCGGCTGAGGAGCACATCTCCTGGAATGTCAGCCCGCGGACGTGGGCGGGAGACAACCGGGGGGATGGCACAGAAGTCGCCCCATGGAGGAAGGCAGCTGCTCCCTCCAGAGAGCAGCTGGGGGTGTCTTTGTCAGGCCCCACCTGGAGGCCCTCTCTTCAGAGCAGCTCTGGTTGTGCCCACAGGTGAATCGCGCGGAGGAGCAGCCCATGTCTGGAAGCCAGATAAGCCAGGGTTCATGGGAAGGAGGACACCATGGGTTCCGCCTTCGAAAAGGAGGCCTGGTGGCCACCCAGGCCCCAGGAACGCTGGTGGCAACAGTCACTCCGGGGACAGGCCAGATCACGCCCCATGAGAAGGAAGCCTGGCTTGCAGAGGAAGGCGGGACTTAGGAAGGTCCAGGTTATAAGCGCTCAGCTGAGACCTGGAGGTGACTTGGCAACCATGCTGGAGTTTTTCTAAGCATGCATGGGATTACACCCTCAGCAAACACACAGAGCCTGGGCCAACTCTAGGCGCCCAGCGCCAGAAAACCCCGGCCTAGATGGCCGTTCGGCCCTGCGCCTGCTCCCTGTCTGCACACCCAAGCCGGCGCAGCTCACAAAAGAGGAACCCGGGTTGCCATTCAGCGCACTGGCCCGACAAAGTGCCCATTAGCTGTGGCGAAGCAGTTTTCGCAATCCCACTAACATGGATGTCAGGGCTGAACGTGTTGCCTCCACTGACACTCCATGAGAAAGGAGCCCTTTATTCCGACCCTGGAATGTAGCAAGCGCTGCTGAGAGTGGTATGCAGATTTTTTCCCCCCTTGTCTCTCTTCACAAGAACTGTGCAATGCGGAGTCATTATTGATCGAGCGGTGCCTTTTCAAGAACTGTGACTGCTATCAAGGTCTTTGGGGTTTTGTGTGGCGTGCTTAATTGCTCCTGAACAGGGCGAGCCACGAGAGCAGGTGACAACACTGCTTCCTGCACTTTAGTTCACTGTGCTGATTATGTCGAGTTATTAACTGTGCTAATTTCAGGAGGGGTGGGAGGCAGAAGGCAAACACGTTCTCCCCAGTCAATAGAACATGAAGAATTCAGAGCATCCCTTATCAAATCTTTAAGGACGTTTGAACAGTCGATATTCACAAGTATATATGTATTCCTGACAGCAGTTTTCAAGCAAAATGCCAGCAAAATTCACACACCTTCTGGCCAAGTTCTATAGCTTTAGTGAGATTTAGTGATTTTAAAATGTTTTTCCCACTGTTCTTGCTGTTGCAAAGAATCAAGTCATGATCGACCGGAATTATAAAAGTGTAGATCTACTGAATCACTGAACAGAACAAATGATCAGTACAGAAGGACTTAGTGGTGGGTCGTTGATTTTGGAACACTTGCCACCACAAAGTCTCCCTGATGCCGACACTCGTCTTTTTGGCACCCTGATATGACTCTACTTTGCTCCCAGGTGTTTAGAAATCTATGATGGGGCATCTTAGCTTAGGTGTTTTGCCAACCTTTTTTAAAAAATTACATCTATATCCTCATTTTTCTTGCTCTTGCAAGGACTCTGAGGTGGCCTGCATGGTCCCCCTCCTCCCCATTTTGTCCTCACAACAGCCCTTTTAGGGTGGTTTAGGAAGGGAGTCAGTGCCTGGCATAAAGCCGCCTTGTGGTCCTCTGGGCCAGGTGAGGACTAGGAACCCAGGTCTCCTGGGCCCAAGCCCAACACCCCAACCACTACCATGTTGGCACTCAGGTGGACAGTTTTATTGTTTTGTGTTAATTCAGACTGATTTAACACTTTGTATGCTTCAACCCTGGTCAAAAGACACTTTGAATCTTTTTTAGAGGAAGGTGTCTAATAAACATTTCCCCTTCCACTGGTTAATTTCAAAGAAGAGAAGTCATTTTAAAGAGCACATCCATTGGTGAATATGAAAGACTGTTCCAGCACAATTTTTTCCTGTGTAACAAACTCCTCCCCAAAAGAAGCAACTACCGGATATCGCCAAAACTTATGTTTAGAAGGAGGATTAGCTGTTTTGCACCACCAACAATTAGCTGAATTAAATCATCCCTTATTAAGAAATGCTGTGGTACCCCAATGGATAGAGATGGTTTTGCTTATTGAGGCACAGCCTAAGATTCATCAATGCGGCAGGGAGATGCCAAAATAGTCATCCACTGCAGTGGTTTCTCAAACCGGCAAAAGTGCCCCTTCCTGACCCAAAGGGAAGCAGCTCAGGACTTCTGCCCTTCCGTACTTGGCTGGTGGCTCATTGCAGCAGAAACTGAACACAAAACCTTCTCAATGGGAAGCATTACCTCTCTTTTCCCTGAGACGCATGCAGCGATCATACGATTGGGCAAATAATTAATGAGCATTTCCCAAAGTAAGGCACTTTCAAAATTCCTCCTCAAAGAGGTTCCCCACCCACACTTTTGGTGGATTTTTTTAAAACATAAAATCAACTGCTAAAAATAATTACAGGCCTGTCTGGGGGGCTGGTCGTGTGTTTTTTACTCAACGTAGGCAAACAGAGCTGATGAATTTATGCCCATTTTTGCTGACATCATTTTATGTCTCATTAAGACCTTAATGAAAACAGCATGCAGACATGATTTCAAAAAAATCTTCCTCCTTCCCAAAAGTTCTTCTTAAAGAAGAAAAAAAAAGGAAGAAAGATCTTCAAACTGCTGCATAAGCAAAGAGGGGTTCATTTTCTCAAGCGTGCTATAACCGCGGCATCAAACAGACCACAAGAGACTCTTGCGAGCGCATATACAAAGATTTAGAGTCTATTACACTCTGCGTATCCTTCACTTTAATCTAGCGCTTTTAATCTTGGCCCAGGCCGTCATCCCCAGCTGACGGGGAACAGCGATTGCCGTGACGGACGCTACTTAGTCCCCCCACTGAGCGCCACTGAGGGGTCTTTGACAGGCAATCCACGCCTGATGTTCTCTTTCCTTAAACAAATTCAAAACGGCTCCCTTCGCGGAAGCGCCCCTCCACACACTTTCATGCAGAACGGCGCGTAGCACCACGACGCCGTCCTTCCAAGCAACCTTTGCCACCCTGGTGCCCTTTGACTGTGCTAGGGCTACAGCTCTTCCCTCAGCAAAGGGGAGAGGTCAAGGGCACCCCCCACCTTGGGAGATGGCAGGTCGTCTCCCTCCCTCTCTCTCTCTCTCTCACGTGCTGTTGAAAGACCACGGACAAGGTCCCTTTCCTTCAGAGCTGTGCTTTCCCCAGGCCTCAGGGGCTCCTCCCAAGGGCATCTGGGACCTTTCCCCCTGGCATGGCATGCCAGACACAGGAGGGACGGCCAGACCCCATCTCCCTCCTCTCCTTGCCGTGGGAGCATCACCGTCACTGCTGCAGCTCCCGCTGTATCATCCAGCAGCGCTATCTCAGGGAGGAGCCAGGCGTCCTTGGGGATGATGGTTTCCAGCAGGGGGACTGGGGGAGATGGGTAGCTGGGTGGAGGTGTGTCCTCTCCCCTTGCTCTCCCCTCTGGCTCAGGAAAGGGCTCGCTGGGGGAGGAAGCTTCATCCAGCGACCCATCAGGCCCAGTGCACTCAAAACGGGCTTGTTGCCTTCGGGAAGGAGGTGGCACCTCAGAGAAGGCGACGTTAACAGCAAGGCCAGATCGACCAGCCTCCAGAAGGGCCTCTGCACATTGCTGAGACACAGCTTTCGTCAGGAAGGCTTCGACCAGCGACCTGTCCAAGGTCCTGACAGGCCTGGCCTTACCAGAGGCGATTTGTGATTATTATCATCACCACATTCCTGGCCCACCCACGAGTGGTGCAATTCAGCCTTCCCGGGCAGTGCGATCACTCTGGCCCCCCGGGAGCCCCGTTCCAAGTTAGGACAGGGCGAGGAGGAGTGAACTTGCCCAAAGTCTTACTCGGGGAAATGGCTCCGCTTATTGCCAAGCCCATTCAACTTGGGGTGGGGATCACCCCGCGCTTTTCCCCATGATGTGTCTCCGACATACTTGACACACGATCCTGGAACTTTACCCTGCCAGTTCTTCAATATCAGTTTTCTCAAGCAGAGGCTGCTTCCCCCAGATCATATTTATATTCTTAAAGGTTACACACAGGAGATTTTTGTTCCAAACAAAACTCAGGTTCAAAGCAAATGCAAATTCCATAGGCCAGCCAGGTAGGCTGTGGAGGGACAAAGCTTTTCGGAGGCTTCTAAATATTTTGCAGAACCTCATCTAGACTGGAGACCCAAAGCTGCAGCTCAGCTCAAGAGGGGGATCTAACTATGGTCAAGCGCTCAGGAAGCACCTGCCAATAGTGGGCAGGGCAGAGACAAGGGACGGTGCAAAACACCAGGCTGTTTCAAACTGAAAGCTCGTACTGCCAGAGACTATTTCTTAAGGGAGGCCTTCCATCCTATTAGAATAGGGGGAAAGTGGTGCAATATCTGGGAAGGTACCGAACAACTGGGGCTCTCGGAAAGTGGGGTGGTCACCCGGGGAAGTCCATAAATCAGGCAGGCCAGATTCGGTCCCATGGGCCTGACATTCAACCTCCTGCTTCTGTCAGAAATTTTTGTTCCAGGAGAGCGCAAAACTGCACGATCCTACAAGAAGTGACGGGCAGGTGGCGGAGGGAGAGCCAGCAGTTTCAGGGCAGGCTCCCTGGAGCGACTGGCAAGAGGGGCAGCCAGGGGCGGAGGGGAGCACTGCACCAAGCCAGGATCCAGCCATGGCAGGGGCACCAGGGAAACGCACAACAGAGGAGGACCACACCATGTGCTAAACCAGCCATTCCCAACCCGGTATCGGACGGATGGTTTTGGCTTCGGCTCCCATGAACCCCAGACAGTGCAGCCAATAGTCAGAAATGCTGGGGGTTCTTCTCCAACGAATCTGGAGGACACGGGAGAAGCGAAGATGATGTGAGCCATGACCACAGGGGTGGGCAACCTGTGGACCCTCGAGACGTCACGCGCCAGCAGCTCCCTGGCCAGCACAGTCAAGGATGGAGGATGACAGGAGCTGCAGTCCAGCCATGGCTTGGAGCGCCACAGGTTGCCCGGCCAGCCTGACTAGGATCAGAAAAGGGGCACCCGAGTCCTGGACAGGGCAACCTACGCTGGACAGCACGCGGAGCTCTGCCCTTCATCACACATGGCGCTGGCACGGGGAGGAGGAGCGCATGCAACTGGGGAACATGTGGCGGCTGCGGGGGAGGGCGGCGAATGAACTGGAAGGCACGCTGGGGCTGAGTGAGACTCACCAGGGGGCTTTGATGGAAAAACATCCTGCTCCAAACAGGTAAGGTCTTCGCAGGAACGGGGGGAGGAAAATGCACAGGTATTAGATGGGAGAGGCTGTGGTCAACAAGCAACAGTGTCAAGGCATGGCATTCCAAAAACCATTTGCAAAAATAATTGTCACGGTTTTTCTTTTCAGAAGGAAAGCAGCACATCAGAAGACACACAGGTGTTCCCGGGACGCGCCCCCTGGCTCCCTTCTCTCTCGCTCCCCGTGATGGACCCTTTCCTGAGCCGGGGACCTCCGGATACCTTTGCGGCAACACCCGTCAGCTCCAGCCAGCAAGGTTCATGGTTGGGGATGCTGGGGGCTGGAGTTTAAAAAACAGATCCACACACACGCTTGTCCTCCTGGCACCCCCAGGGACTAAAGCAGGGTCTGGGCAGCCCCATCTCAGACCGGGGGGGGGGAGGGAATACCCTTTCAGATGCATGACTGTCACACGGGAGAGCAGGCTGCCAGGTCCCCTTCACCCAACACGCCTTTGCCTCTTATGTGGCAGAGAGGCAGTCTGTCTGTTTAGCCTCTGACTGGCGCTCCCGGCCGTGTGAGCCCCCGAGGGACGCGCTGCCTCGGTGAGAAGCGGGGCCGCCATCCACGCTCACTCACCTGGGAGCAAGTCCCGTGGGGTGGGGTGCGGGGGTTGCAAAGATGCTTTTGTTTGCTGTGCCTGAAAACTTTCCTCACTGTACGGCTTCACATTACCTCTACTGTCGTCCCGAGGATGCTTTGTGCTGGTTTTTACGTGGGGGCCTGGTGCACTCATCACAGGCTTTCCGTATTTGTGCCAGTGGCTTGCAGACTTCCCTGTGCCTCTTCGGAACGCGGCTGGAGGGCCGGAGAAGAGGAACCCGAGGGGGCTGATGCCAAGAGGGAGACGGGAGCATGCCCACCGCTCCGGTCTTCCCTCATTTTGCACCTTCTGGAGGCACTGGACTGCTCCTCCCATCACTCCCAGCTCACACGGCCAATGCTGCACCTCGAGAGGCAGGGTTGGGTGAGACAACGCATATGGAAGGAACAGGGGAGGCCTTTGCTGCTAACATTGTTTTCCTGCACAGCTGTCCCCAAATGCACACACAAAAACTAACCCCCAAATGAGCCGGTCCTGCTGCCGCAGCCAAGGGGCAGGGGGCTCTTCTGTACTGGGCCCCCATGCTCAGGTGGCCTCAGTGCACACCTTGGTGCTGAGTCGGAACGGCAAAAGGAAAGGGGATCTCTACAGGATACGGGGTAGAATGCCTACGTTTGGGCAGGGCCTGCTCTACCCATCCTGTCCTGTAAGCTGCGGGCTTGGAGACAGCTTTGGACTCCGACTCCCAGCATTCCTGACCCTTAGCCATGCTGCTCGGTGGTGCTGGGAGGCAACGTCCCAAACTTGGGAGCATCTCATCCAGTATCCCACTTGTTTCTTTTCATAAGAGCTTACCAAAATTTGCTAATTCCTTTATAAATAAGAAAAGGTTTGAGATTTCAAATAAAACAAAAGCGGGAGCAGGAGAGCATGAAACTGACAAATTGAACATGCACCCAGGGAAAGGCTGTTGAGGCTTAACTCTCTGAAATCTGGCTTTGAACCTGTTTTTTTTTCAGCCATGTTTGTGTTGCTGGGGTTGGGGGACTGCCTCTTTTTTTTCCTGACGGGGGGCTACCTTTTTTTCCCTTGTTGGCAAGAGCTTTCCTGGTTGAATGTGCTCTGTGCAGAGCGGTGACGGAGGCTTTCATTTGACATTTTTCATACGCGTTGATCAACATTTGAAGGGTTCTTCGCAAACCGGGGAGGATGGCCGTGAGTTCTGAAAGCTTCAAATGCGGGCAAAAGCAAAGCTGGCATCTGTCCCTGGTTAAAATGCCTTGCTCCAGCAACGTGGTCCTGAAATCCAGAGAAGCCTCGGCGCGGGGCTCCCCTTCTCCTTCGCAGGGAGGCAAAGCGCCGCACAGGCGCACACGCACCGCCACCAAAGGCGGCTCAGCTCATCGGCCGGACCTGAAGCCTCACCCCCCCCCCCCCCCCGTTCCAATGCTGGCCCTACCAACAGCTAGGAATGTGGCTGAAGATCAAAAGGAACGCTGTGGGAGTGGGACAAGATCAAATAAAGATAAAAATGCCACATTTGACAGAACAAAATGAAACTTCAAGGTTTGAAAGGAAAAACCAGAATAAAAACAAGCTGACGAAAGCAGGAATGAGAGACAGAGTGCAGTTGCGAGTCAAAGCCAGTTGCTCTGGGGGCAGAGCTCAGCCCCTGCGCTCAGCCCCACACCTCACAAGGTTGCCTCAGCGGCCTGCTACCTGTCTCCCCACTCCACCTCCTGGGGCAGGCTAGGAAGGGGGCAACCGGCGGCCCCGCACGCCTTCCTCAGCAACTTGACCCCACCGATTCACTAACGCAGCTTGCTGCTGCCCCTCAAGCTGGCTCCAGCCCGGCTCCAGCCCTTGTGCAACGGCCGTTCAGATACTCGAAGGCAGGTAACAGATTCTGGCCCCCGTGCTTAGCTGGTTCTCCTCCAGGCCAGCCAAAGAGCCAAAAGGCAGGTGTAGGAGGGAACTGTCAATTTCTGATGCCACTGAAACTGCTAGTTACATGTTCCATGGGACTGTGAAGCAACAGCAAACTACGGTATTGCACTTTTACAAAACAGTATGTTTCTCATTCTCATGACTATACTTGGAAGTGTGTGAGCAAAGTATGCTAAGAAAGAAGGTGTGTGTGTGTGTGTGTGTGTGTGTGTGTGTGTGTGTGAAAGAGAGAGGGAGGAGGAGAGAGAAAGCATTAAGGGCAGGACAGGGATGACTTTGTCTCCCTCTCAGATCGGCAAACCCAAACCCAAATCAGTTATGCGAAAGAGGAGAAAGGCTGCGAATCTGTTGGCCTGGCACAGGGCACCAAACTGTGGCGTGCTTGGACATGGACTTCAATGTGCTTAAACTGGAGTCCACTGGGAGCCCATAAGAGAAAGGAAAGGCTGAGAGCTCCGAGAATTGTTTCATCAAAGAGGCACGGGAATGCAGAGGGCTTGAACGTTGCCCTCTCCCCATCCGTTCTGAAAGTGTTTCAGAAATGCGGGGAAAATGCGGCGAGCACCAGGGCTGCCACTGATGCTGGGATCGGGGGCTGCCCTCCCACGAATGCCGGGGCGGGTCTTGCCTCGTGCACGGCCGGGCTCAGCGCACACTAATAAGGGAGGACAGTGACACGAGAGCCCGTCCTGGAATCGACAGCACCAGATGGCTGCGCTGGGTGCCGACGAGGCAGCCCCGTCGAGGCGGGAGGGGGGCAGCCGGGCTCTCCGCAGCCCGCCCGGCTTCAGTGTGTGCCGCCAGCGACCCCTCAGTGCTGCTTTTGGCCCGGGAGACCCTTTTCTGAAGAAGCGACTCGTTTAGCGCTGTTGAAACTCTCGGGCAGGGCGTGGGCCAACGCTCAAGGAAGTCTCAGATAATCACTGAGGTGCACGTTTACCCATGGTTAAGCAGGAAAAGGCCTAGAATTCCCAGCATGCCCCAGCCACCATGGCCAATGGCCAGGAATTCTGGGAGTTGTAGACCAACCTATGTGGAGGGGGTCAGGTTGAGGAGGGGCGAACGGCATTCATCTCTGTTCTTTCCCCCTGAACTGCTTTGCCAATCTGCTCCTTCCTTTTTTCAAGAAGGGAATTTGGATTTTAAATTGCATCCTAATCATTTTTAATGTTTCTGTTTTTGAATATATAGACTGCTGCATTCTGTTATTTTCGGGTGCTGCGTCAGGCTCCAAGCCCTACCTGGGGATTCTGCCTTAGACCCCTTGAATGCAAAGTGGGTGCTCTGTGCCATAATGACAGCCCCTTCCCTATTCCCCAACACCACCGGACAGAGAGAACAAGTTTCTGGTCCTCAGGATCTCCTCAAGGAATCGGGGATGGCTAGAAAGTGTACTCACGCCTTTCTTTTGGTTGCCACTCTTAAAGTCACCCGTTTTGCATTGCGAGGGTGAAAGAAACCAAACCAGGTATTTCCAAATGCAATATTGTGCTATTGGAATAAAGTAGTTACACATCAGAATCCACAGACCTAACCCAGTTTTCCAGAACTTTACTGGTGGGAGCATAATCTCCATGAATATGTCATCTCTGGTTTATTTTGCACACTCGAAATCTAAGGATTTAATTTGGAGGCTTTGGCCTTCCTTTTAAAAGTTTGGTTTCAGTTTTCCTTTGTTATTTCCTATTCAGCTGGTATTGCTCCTCTTATTAGTATTTTTTCTAAGGTCTGCACTACTAATAAGTCCTGGAAAGGATTAAAGTTTCCAAAGTTCAAAAGAGATCAAACGGATATCAGTGATTTTATGAACAAATCGTACACAAGGCGATAACATCTTGGCCAGATCCCACATGAAAAAATGTGTTATCTGCATTCCACTTTTCATACTGCAAAAACAGACGCTGAGGAGAGGCTGCGAGAGAGCGCTCACTGTGGCACTGAGGAAGCCCGTCTTTTGGCAGGGCTGTCCCAAAGGCTACCCCGCAAGCTGGGCCTCCCCCTCCATTCCCAGGGCTGGGTGCCCCAAGGTGGCTTCTGAGCCCGTCTTCCTTGAGCCTCCCGCTCCCCAGAGCAAAAGCACTTTCAAAATGGGAGCAACTTTCAAAAGGGATTTGCAGCATGAGGTGCGGTCCTGAGGTTCAAGCAGACAAGCTTTTGACACCTCGCTAATAAATGGTTGCTTTGATTAAAAATGAGGTCGTGGGTTGAATCCAGATGCAGTCATGTGGAAAACAGACCCATTTAATTCAGTGGCACTTCAATGAGCCCTTACAAACTGAAGTCCCATTTATTTCAATGGGTCTAAACTTAGTGGGCCAAAGCCCACTTGGGTGTTTGCTGGGGGAGGGTGGCAAGACCCAGAGCAAATTGGGGAGGGATCTCTGGATGAAGCAGCGTCTGGCATTGCCCTGTGATCACTTCTGGCGTCAGGAATTGTCTGGGGAACAGACTGCCGTTCCGGGGCTCCGACGCTCCAGGACAGAACG